AATGAAATCTTGAAATAGAGTTCATATCTAGAATTGGAAGTTAAATTTGACTTGTCATCAATCTAGTTAAGACATACTAAGTGTTAGAAGTGGAATTAAATCATGCTGCAAAGTTGGTACAATTCTTGAATTTCATGAGGATGATATGATTTTGAGGTTTAAAATGAAATAAATAAGTATAGATTGATTTAAGTATATGTACTGAAGTTAAGAATATAAAAGGGGACGAAACATGAAAGATTTAAGTTAAAATGGATGAGTTTTCGGGTTTAATAAGTGAATTCTGGGCAGGTGTATCGATGCACTCCTTCAAAATAAAAACATCGAATGCCATAAGTGTATATATGCACAAGTAGTGCATCGATGCATCCCTTTAAGATTAAAACATCGAAGGTGATTTGTGTACCAATGCACAGGTAGTGCATCGATGCACACGTTATGAAATGCATCGATACACTGTAGAGTGCATCGATGCATACCTTCATTAAAAGATGAAAATAACTTTCTTTTTAGCCTAAGGAGTAATAGTTTAGAATATATCAATTAGTATACTGATGTGTATCAATGTATTACTATGTAGATATAGAACGTAATATTGTTCCGGAACAATCGAAGGATTAGAATCGAAGCAAAGCAAGGCTAAGGTGAGTGCATTTTATAGTTAAAGTGTATAGATATAAGACTTGTGATAAGTCTATCTCTGATAGTTGAATTCATGATTATATACTCATGTACATGCATATATATATATATATATATATATATATTATTGTTATAGTGATTGCATGCATAATTCATTATGTGTTAATATGATATTAACTGAACGAATGTCATTGCCAGAGAATACAATCAAGGTATGTGGAATAATGGAAATGATTATATGTGTTTATATGAAAAGTGATGAAAGAGATATGAAATGAGAAATGTATTCATATTTAAGCCCATGTTATATGATATGAGAGTTGTAGGTATAGTTGGCATGCCAAGAGTCGAGGGTTATAGTGGTCCTTCGGCATATATCTTGTGGTCCTTCGGGACATATCCAGTGGTCTTTCGGGATGTAGTGGTCCTTCGGGACATATCCAGTGATCCTTCGGGACGTAGTGGTCCTTCGGGACAAATATTCAGTGCCCCTTGAGGGAATTATATGAGATGTGGTGACAATATAGTGCACAACCTCTATGTACTCAATACCTCTGTTCTCAATAGTGTACATGGTCAAATGAAAAATAAATTAAAGTGAAAGTGGCACAAGAAAATGAGTTTTATATGTGTGTGATATGATTATATATGTTTAGTGTAATAGATACATGCATATTGAAATATCATGATCAAATGGTAAGAATGCATATACATGAATATATTGTTACATGTTTATTTATTGCCTCACTAAGTCTATGACTTAGCGTGTAAGTGATTTACAAGTAGGTACCAAGAAACAAGAAGAGCAGGAATAGAAGTGGCAAGTACATCATCACTATTAATAGATCAGATCAGAAGTAATTGACAAAATAGGTATTTTGGTTGTGTATAGAGTGTTTGCATGTAATAAGTTGTTAATTACGAATGCTCTGATCAATTTTGTATTTTGTGGTCTCTTTTATGTAAATTAACGTATTTTGTTTTAATGAAAGTTTAAAATTTCCCTGTTTTTCTTTAAGTGTTAAAGTTTGAAAAGTTAATATGACACCTCAGACTCATATTCGGGTCGGATACGGGTTAGGGGTGTTACAATATAAGTTATGTGATGACTTGTGTGACTATGTGAATATGTGACAAGAATAAATGATAATGCCCATGTTATGTGATATGAGAGCTAGAGGTATAGTTGGCATGCCAAGAGTCGAGGGTTCTATGTGGTCATTCGGGACAATTATGTGGCACTTCGGTGCAAACCTATGTAGCACTTCAATGTAAACCTAAGTGGTCCTTCAGGACAACTATGTGACATTTCGGTGCAAATTACTAGTTGTGGTGACAACATTTGTGCACAACCTCAATGCACTCACATATCTTTAGTTCTTATAAATGTATCATGGGCCAATAAAAGATATAACATAAATAAACCTTGTGTAATGTTATGTGTGTTTCTTTGTGAAAGGTGTTATATGCTTTGTATAGATAATAAGTTCAAGATTATATGATAAAAGGAATTATTGATAATGATAAGAATATTGATGATGATAATGATGATAGATGTGTAAGTATGCATTTCGTTATATGTAATATTATATGATTTTGTCTGATATGATGATATTAAATGTTCTTGTATTGTTAAATAACTAAGGGTATATTATCCCTTGTATATATATATGCTTCACTAAGTCATCGACTTAGCGTGTGAATGTTTCACACATATGTTCTGAGAAGAGAAAGGGATCAATGATAAGCAAGTCATGTCAGCATCTCATTTCCGAAGACCAGATCAGAAAATATTGTAATTATACTTATTTTTTTATAGTGAATGTAGTTAGCATGTAATTAAGGATTTGAATTGTATACGCTCTGATCGGTTTGTAAAACTTTTGGTTGAAAATGCATAAATTAAGCAATTTTATTTAAAATAATTTTAAATGATCATTATCTTGTACAAGTATATGCTTTGAAAAGTTAATGTGATACCTCGGTCTTGTATCCGGATCGGATACGGGTTGGGGGTGTTACAAAATGTGTAATTATGCTAAAATATTTAAATGCCACATCACCTAATTTGTTAAATGTTAACGACAAGTGGCTTGATTGAAAATAATTAAATAGTTTAGTGGTCTGATTGACAAAATTGAAAGATCGATGATAAAAGTAAAAGAGCTAAATAATTGAGTGGTCAATGATATAAATTACCCTAAAAAGTATATAATATTAAAAAGTTTAATTATAAAAATAAGTGCCCAAACTATAACGCTTTCCACGAATATGTGCCTACAATATATTTTTAAAATACCATGGAGCCTAAAGTGCAAACATTATCACTTTAGGTGTTTAAGTCGTAAACGTCGTTAATTTTATCTATTAGGTGACATATGTCACATTTTGATAATTTTAAAAGTTTTATTTAAAATTAAAAAATTAAAATTATATATTTTTAAAAAACACACACAAAAATTTTGAAATATCTCCAAAACTTTGAAAACCTTCATTTTAGCCTATAAACCCACGCCGATCGTCGCCTTTTGTCGTCGACGAAGCTCCACACGACCTCAACCCTTATGAAATCACGACCGATCGACGGCTAGTTAATATTTTGTGCCCCGCGAACTCTAGGATGAAAATCTCGATCCCATGCGATTCCGACGGCCAATCGACGACAACTGAGTCGATGTATGACTAGGATGATGGTATAGACTAATTTGACGGGTAGTGATCGTGACCAGAAAGGGAGATAACGGCGGGTTAGAGTTAGAATTTTTATGAATTTCATTTTTTTGTAATTTAAGAGAAATTAGAGTTTTTTATATAAAAAATCAAAATTATCAGATTGTGACACATTTTACTTACTGATGAAAACTAATAGCATTTATGGCTCGGGCATCTAAAGTGATAACGTTGATTACATTAGGTATCAAATTCATTCAAAAAAATGCTGTAAGTACTTATTCTTGAAAAGTGATCAAGTTTGAACACTTATTCTATAATTAAGCCATTAAAAAACATAAATTTTCAAAACTTTTTAAAAATAAGAAATAATTTAAAATAGAAAACTTGGGAAATTGTACAGACGTTCAAAAGATCTTTATAAAAATTAGGGTAGTCAAATAGAGTGCTCTAACCTTTACGATAATATGTCATATAATCAAATCTAAAAGTGACGGGCTTCGTGCAGTGTTTTGAAAACTGGACTAAATCAGTTGGTTTAACCGGTTCAATCGAAAATCGTTGTCTAGTCAGATTTAATCTACACCAGTTGAATCGTTACTAGTGAACCAGCCAGAACCGTTGAACCTTTCGAACCGGATCGACTGAAAACCCGAAAAACCCGCTAATTTTATTTTTTTTTTAAAAATTAAACCAAACGACGTCGTTTGTTAAACGAGCCAAGTCGAACTCGAGTATTGTTGAGCTCGACTCGAACTTGAAAACTTTAAAAGTAAACTCAACTCAACTCATACTCACGAGCTAAAAATTATCAAGTTCAACTCGAACTCGAAATATAATATTGAAACTTGAACTCAAAAAGGCTTGAACTCAAAAAAAAAATTAGAAACTCAATTAAAGCCTAAAATTCGAGCTTGATTGAAGTGAAAGAATAGTTCACTCAATGCTCACCAAAAGACTTCATGATTTTGAATGTCAAATTACCTCTATTATTTATAGAAGTTAGTTGGGATGATCTTCTATGTTTCTTAGCCATGTGTGGTTGTTTTGTTCTCATATTTTTACTCTTTAGATTTTTGGGATGCACTTCTATGTTTCTTAGCTATATGGGTTATTTTGTTCTCATATTTTTACTCTTTAGACTTTTGGGATGTTCTTCTATGTTTATTAGCCATGTGAGATTGTTTTAAAAAAAAAATTAAACCAAACAATATCATTTTGTTATGATTTTTTAGTCCCAAATTTTTTTTATTATAGTTATATAATTATATTTATTATTTAATATGTTTTACCTTAAATATTATGTTGTAGTTAATTTGAATCATTTTGTTTCACTTGATTTTATGATTTTTAACTTATATATGTTATAATTTGGTTTGAATATGACTTGTGATATAAAAAATTATTTTTTATTAAATATTTTTTGTATTTTATTTAATTTTTTAAATAATTATGACGTCGTTCAATTTTTTCGACCGATTAAACCGATTCAACTGATTAAACCAATGAACCAATAATATTACCAGTTCGCTAACGGTTCCGATTCTAAAAACAATGATCAACGGCTGCTTTAAACTTGAATAAAACCCGCCTTGCTATGCCTGTTCCAAGTCTCAAACTCTCCTTTTTCTTCTCAATAAATAGTTCCATGGTGATTTTCCTAGTAAAAAATACTTCATTTTCCATTCTAGTTTATCACCTTTCTTCAATCTGTCTCCCCTTCTTTTTGGCATGTTTCCCAGGAAAAGCATCGCCAAACTCCCCTGCAGATCTCCTGCCCTTAACTCTGTTTCCTTCATTTCCTCTTACCATCAAACAATCCCCTCAAAATTAACCCCACAAGACATTGCTCATCGAGCTTCATCTTTAATCAACCAACCTAACTGGAAGACCAACGAGACCCTCAAATCCTTTGTTTCCCACATGAACCCCAATGTTGCTGCCCAGGTTATCCTCCTCCAAAATCACCAACTCACACTCGCTCTCCAGTTTTTCCAATGGGTTTGTCAGCACTCCACTTATTGCTACGATACAACTAGTAGAATCCACCTCTTGAAACTGCTTATATCCTCCAATTCATTTCGAATCGCTCATAAAGCTGTGATTGAACTAATTAAAAGTTGTGGTAGCAACGAAAACGGTCTTTTGAAGCTAATGCAAGAGCTTGAAGAGATGAGGAAGAATGGTTTTCGCTTAAATTACCCTTGTTATAGCATTCTCTTGATGTCTATAGCAAAGTTAAGTTTAGGGTTTTTGGCATTTTCGGTTTATAAAAGAATGGTAGCTGAAGGCTTTGCTTTTGCTGCCATTGATTATGGAATGATAATCAACGCTTTCTCCAAAGTTGGCTTTGTCCGTCAAGCTGAAATGTTCATGTCCCAAGCTTTGAAGCTTGGGTTTGGATTGGGTACTCATATTTGTACTTCTTTAGTATTGGGATACTGTCGTGAAAAGGATCTCTGGGAAGCCTTCCGGGTGTTTGATGTAATGTCGGAATCAGATGGTTGCGGAGCGAATTCGGTTACCTACTCGATTTTAATACATGGTTTATGTGAGAATGGGAGGGTTGAAGAAGCATTTGCTTTAAAAGAAGGGATGTCACAGAAGGGTTGCCAGCCAAGTACTCGGACTTACACCGTATTAGTGAAGGCTTTGTGTGATGATGGATCGATTGGTAAGGCTTTGGATTTAGTAAGTGAAATGATCGGAAAAGGATGTAAGCCAAATGTTTATACTTACACTGTTTTGATTGATGGGTTATGCAGGGAAGGAAAGATTGAGGAGGGTAATGGGATGTTAAAGCAGATGGTAAAAGAGGGTGTTTATCCAGGGATTGTAACTTACAATGCACTGATTAATGGATACTGTAAGGAAGGGAAGATTGTTTCTGCTTTTGAGCTTCTTAGTTTGATGGAGAAACGTAATTGTCGGCCTAATATCCGTACCTATAATGAGCTTATCGAAGGACTGTGTAGAGTTAACAAACCTTATAAGGCAATGCTCCTTCTCGGAAGGATTGTCAACAATGGTTTATTGCCTAACTGTGTAAGTTATAATATTCTAATTTATGGTTTCTGCAAAGAAGGCCATTTCAACATGGCTTCCAAGATATTTGAATTGATGAACTCATTCGGTGTTGATACTGATGCTTATAGTTTCACTGCTATGATTGATGGACTGTGCAAGCAAGGGAGACTGAAACTCGCAAATGGGCTGTTGGGTAAGATGATTAAGAAGGGAATAGAGCCGGATGAAGTAACATTTACTGCACTTATGGATGGCTTTTGTAAGATAGGTAATACAAGAGATGCATCAAAGCTCTTGAAGATGATGATTGAAAATGGTTATTTGGAGACTTGTCATGCCTTCAATTCAATTCTTCATGTTCTGAGCAAAGAATGTGACTTGATAAAAGAATATGCATTGTTTGGAAAGATTCTAAAGCATGGTTTAGTTCCTTCTGTTGTAACTTACACAATATTAGTAGGTGCGCTTTTTAGAGCAGGCAAGGTTGATCAGTCCTTGGGCATGATGGAGTTAATGAAACACATTGGCTGCCCTCCTGGAGTGTACACATACAATGTCATGGTTTATGGTTTGTGTCAAATTGGAAGAGTTGAGGATGCAGAGAGGATCTTGCATAACATGTCTGATTTAGGAGTACCTCCAAATCATGTTACATACACTATATTTGTCAAAGCTCATGTTTATGCCGGTAGGCTAGATCGTGCACTTGAAATTGTGTCTGTTATGGTTAGAAATGGATTTCAACCGAACAGCCGTGTCTATTATGCACTTCTAGTAGGAGTTATTTCATCAAACAAGACCGTGACAGAGGCTAACTCCAGTTTAGATGTTCAACCACCATCTGCTGCAGAAAATTGTGATGAATGTGTTTCCAGTAACATTCTGAAGGAAATGGATCTTGAGCATGCGTTCAAACTCCGAGTTGAAATTGAGAAACTTGGAGCATCTGTTCTGGATTTATACAATTTTCTAATTGCGGGTTTCTGCGAAGTCGGAAGAATTGCAGATGCTGAACATCTTACTAAAGATATATTAAAACAAGGTTTATATCCTGACAAGGCATGTTTTTCTGTCATTGATTGGCACTCAAAGAAGGGCAACTGCAATGAGTGCCTTGAGTTCTTGGATCTCATTCTCAGTCATGGTTTCCTTCCATCTCTTGCATCTTATTCATCGGTGATCCACTGTACGCGCGTCAAAGGAAACATCAAAGAAGCTCAGAGACTGCTTTCTGACCTCACGAAATACAATAATATTGGGGATGTAAAAGCAGTTTTACCTCATATTGAGTTCCTAGTAAACAGTGATGAACCTGAAAAATGCATACATCTTTTAAAACTGATTGAGCAAATGGTTAACGGGGAGAGGCCAGTCATCTAGTTTATGCTTCATTGTTCTTCGCCCTTGACACCATTGCTTATACTCGGGATCTTCCGAATTACTTGAGGAGAAATACACTTACTGTTCGGCCCCGGATTTTTTGGATAGCTTGTGACCAACTTGTAATGAGAACCGGACTCGAGCACAGCAGTAATACCAGGTAAAATCCACTTCATACTCATTGATGTTTTTAGATATGATAAATCGGGGTCAACGTAAAAAGCTTACCCCAGGGTCGTTTTGTAAAGTGAAGCCTTGGGTCGATGAGTAGGACTGACTAGGGATGAACCGAGGTCGCCTCTCCTGAAAACTTCAAATTGCCATATTGATTTCGTATCTGAAACATATTCAATACAAGCATGCAAATATATTTTTTTTATTTTTTTCCCTGTCAGACAACGTGTATAAATATTTATTTGCGCCTACCCAGATGATGGGCACTTCTAAACTCTAGTAACTCGTTTGATATGAGGATCAGGGTTTTAAATAGCAGTCTGCTATTGCAATAGCGCCTGTGATTTCACGGCAGCGCTGCTTTTTACTACACTCGCAATAGCGCCCAATAATGCCCATTACGGCTGTAATAGTGCCCGCTATGACTACAATTGCAGTAAAAAAGAAATGATCGAAAATATGACCGCAACAACACCTTGAAACCCTGATTAGGATATTATCTTAACTTGTATGGCATCATATTCTATTGTTTTTCCCGGTTCATTGGATGCATGTACTTGTGAAATTACTACTACTCGGAACAGGTTAAAATCCATTAGATTTAGAGGTGCTTATATTATATATTTAAAAGATCTTTTCATTATAAAAGTATTTTAATCTTTGTCTTATATTTAAAAGTTTATTTCAATTTCTCTATATTATAAAAAGGAATATTCCGATTCTATACATTTTAAAAAATTAATGTTTTGGTCTAAAATATTAAAATTATTGTTAATTAACTTAAATATTTTGATTTAAACACTATTTAGGTCTTTCTCAATTTTGAACTCAAACAAATTAATCTCTCTCAAAATATATTTTTTGTGAATTTTGCCATAAAATTTTTAAATACTTATAAAATTTAAGGGAAAACTACTCTAAATACCACTAAACTATAGGCGTTATATCGTTTATACAATTGAATTTTCAATTTTGTCAATTTTAACACTAAACTTTGATTTATGTTTTAATTATACAACTGAGTTGATTAATTGTTAACAGTACGATGTCATGACTAACAGTTGTTGATGTGACAGTCACACCAAAATGACACCATTTTAATGCGATCTTTTTGAGGTTCAAAATGCTCAAAACGACATCGTTTTCTTAGAGTAAAATTATTAAAAATTTGCAATTAAGAGGATCCAAATTCTATTCCTTTGAAATGGAAAACAAGGCTTAACCACTAAAACAATTCGATTTTTTTTAAATAGAAGCAGCTAGTCTTATTAAAAAGTGAATATCTAAAATTACAATAAAAGTGCACAACTATCATAGTAAACTAAATACATAATTTGGACATTGAACTAGCCACTTTAGATCATATAAGGACATAAATGGAAAATTTTAAAACTCAACCAAAAGAATCGAAAAAAATAGATACAAATAAATCTGACTGCATCAGCAAACGAACCATAAGAGAGGATTAAGTTATTGAAAGACCACATAGAACTACAAATTAAAACCGAACGTTGTGAGAAACTATCTGCTATGTATCAAACTAAAATTGAGATTACTTATAATTTATGTCACCCTGTATCTGCCAGCTAAGGCGACCAAATATGATGAATGTATAAGAATAAGGTCCATCTTATATGTAACATTGACAAGTTTCCTATGTACTAATTGTAGAGGGTCATTTTGTCCGAGGGTTCATTCGAGTTTCGTTTGAGATTATATATTATATTATATTATATAATTATTACTTATATTATATATATATATATGGGTGTGTGTTTAAAACTATGTATGGGCTACTTATTAATACTTATTTATGCGTGTGGTCATATATATTATTATTATGGGTGTATGTAATCATTATTATATATATACACGTATAAATATATTATAAGTAATTAAATTAAATATATATATACATAAATATTAATGTGATTTAAAAGTGCAGTAATTTTATGAATTTTATTTTACAGGCCATGATCTCATAAGCGATTACAAGGGAAAGTGGCCCAAACAGTAGCCAAACCCGAATTGAAGCAGGCCCAACGGATTAGGGCCTGGAGAAACCCTAGTCTTTCCCTCCTTTGTCCAGCGCCGCCAAGAGATCTGAGTCGTCAGATTTGCTACCAATCATACGGTTCGGATCAAATCCAATCAGGTGACGAATAGGGTTAGGGTTTCAAACCCTACATTTTAGCGCAACCAACTAATGGTCGTTGGATCTGGTTTCAAGATCTAACGGCCCAGATTTATTAAGAACGCCCGAAGTTACGCATGCAGTGCATGAGGGCTACCCAGCTTCCCGATCGACCAGATCTCGCGTGTCGCACCAGCTACTTCCCAAGCTTCCGTGTGTGCACGCCTCGACCATTTGTACCCGGGATCCTACAACAGTCGTATGTCCTCTTTCACACTCCCCCGACAGAGGCAGAGCCTCCCTGGGTGCATGCAAACAAAACAATGCATAGAGGTATTAGAAAAATGACTCATTCTCATAAAAAACGGGAGCAATATATAGCAACAAAAAAACCCAAATGGGGGAGGAGCAGAAAGAAGCAACAACCCAAAAAGAAAAGTTGAGCAAAAAAATGACCACAGGAAGAATCAAACCAAAAAAAGAGCTACCCATTTATGAGTGAAGAACCATCGAATAAAAAAAATCAAGAACCCCGAAAAGAAAATGGCTCACCTTTCTCGTTAGGGGGATCATCGGCGTCTTCTAGTGTTAAAGCATCGTCGAGTCACCAAAGGTAACTCTTTTAGCGTTCAGCCGAGGGCATCCTTGGGGAGTTTCGTTTGGTTTTCGAGAGGTGTCTAGTCGGCGCAGGGCTAGATTAGAGGTTTGGGGTCCGAGTCGAGGCCATTCGATGGATATTTAACCCCTCGCCGGGGTAGTTGTTAGATGGCAGCCATGGTGGCCGCCGAGTTTAACCAAAATTAGAGAGAATGGCGGCTGAAGGAAAAAGGGGGGAGAAGCCAAATGAGTTAGGGTAAATTGTTTACCCAAAATGTCATTCATTTATTGTTGTCAAAACGACAGCGTTTCGAGGGTTAAGGCAACCCGCGTCTGGTCCGGTGGCAGTTAATCGCTTGAGAACTCCTTTGAGTTTCAATATGTTGCATTTAGGCCCATTTTCATAATTTATGAACTCTAGATTTACCTCTTTGTTTTTGGAGATTTCCTTTTTAGTCCTGGGTTATGTTATTTTCAATTTTATGTTGTTTTTACATTTAACCTGTAATTTTGTATATTTTCATTTTAGTCTAGCAGTAAGCTATTTTGATTTGTATGGATTTTTGCATTTAACCTGTAGTTTTGTTCTCTTTTATTTTAATCCCTTGAGCATATGCATGTCCCTGTTCTGTGGTTTCATATTCTGTTGCTAAGTTTTATGTATGTTCATTTTTGGTCCTAAATGTTCATCGTTTTATTGTAGTTGTGGTACCAATACTTTTCAATCATTTGTTTTAGGCCATAAGGTTTTGCTTTATTTTATTTTAGTGACCTCAATCTTTTGTTATGTTCATTTTAGCCATTACATTGTTTTCTTTGGCTCGTATGCGTGATATACATATTTCAAGTCTCTCTGACTGCCAAATCTTATTATGGATTAATGTTTTATATAGCATGATTTTGTTTTATGCCCAAATTATCATAATTTGTGCGCACATATATATATTTATTTTAAGTATGTTTTAGTCTCAATCTTAGATTTTTTTATGTTATAAATTAAATATATATTTTTAATCACCCATAACTTAGTATTAATGGTATTTCAAAACCTCTAGGATATACTTTTTCTTGGCCAAACTTAAATGTTGTTAACCTTTAATATGTTCATAAACCATATAAGATTGTAATTGTTCGTGCAAATTTAAGTTGTGACATCATTTTTGCATAATATGTTATATGTATGATACTCTCACAAGCATCGCTCGACTCTATTCAAATAATTGGATTAAGGGTAATAACATTTCATTTTAAGGTCGTCGTGGGGTGACATTCTTAACGTATAAGAAAGTAATTTCTGATAATCGTAAAATGAAAGTGTATCCCGTCAAATAAAACCCTAAAAGACAACCATACTTAAAATTTGGGAACGGAGAAAAAGAAATGTTTGTCTATTTAAATTCTTCGAGAAAAGATCGTTAGAACTTATAAAAGGTCCAATCTCGACGTCTTTAAATAATCGAATATCCTTCTTCTTTCTAAAAGGATTGGTAATTTTTAATTTAATTTGTTTTATTTCATCATTATTCATGCATTTTGAAATTTAAAATAATAATGAATTTTAGAATGGAGTTATAATATTTCTTTATTTCGATTGTAGTGAGAATTGACTGCTTTAAGGCATGAGATGTCGTTTCTTCTCGATAGGAAATAATCAAAATTTGTTGTGTTTCATCCTAAAATTCAAAGAATATTATTTGAAGGGATATGAAATTAAATTAAATTCAAACTTGTGAGATTCATTGCAAATACAACTAATTAATCGACTAGGTACCGATTTAGGGCGCTGTGGGGTGCTAATCCTTCCCCACGCGTAATCGACTCCTGAAATCAATTTTTGGTACGTAGATCTAAGACGTTGTTTTAATAATATTAAAATTATTTTTATTAAAATAACAACCGTTTTGGGTGCCCAATCACACCCTAATCAAATATTGATGGTGACTCCTAAAACCATGTTTTATTTTGATTTCTAAAAGGAAACACCCAAATTAATCGAGACGAGATTTTTTAAATCATATACTTAATCATTTAATTAAAAATTAAATATGTTATGTTTTAAAAAAATTGTTTCGACAGCTTGACGACTTTGTTGGGGATATTTTTTTAGAGTCAGTGTATTAGTCAATTAATTAATTGTCTTTGTAATAAAAATTACATTTTCATCCTAATTTAGTTTTTGATACCTTGTAAGAATCCATAAAATTTTGAAGTGAATTTTTGAGGAAAAATTCTCATATGCATTGCTCAAACTACTCCCAGTTCTTCAGGAAATTATTCTAAACCTTTGACAGCATATCAAAGGACAATGTTTTGTATTACAATTT